TTTTTTTTTTTGAGGGCCTTTTTCCGGGGGTTTAGGGCTTGCACGGTCTGGGGTTTCTGGCTCTTTCTCTCTCTGCCGCGGCTGCCAACAAAAGGGTGACTCGCGGTCGGCAGCTCTTCGACAGCTAGGGAGCCCGACTCCTTTGGGAGTCGGCAGCGCCTCTGTACAGACCCACAATTTGCGCTCAGTCTCTTTGTGTTACACAAAGCCCTTTTCATTACAAAGCTTTCCAAAAGGCCCCTGCCCAAAAACCGCCAGAAATGAGCAGGCAGAGCCGGCAGAGCCAACGCCCCGCAAACTCTTGGGAAGCTCAGGGAGGCCTCGAGGCCCCGCTGAATCTTCTCAGGACGCTTCCTGCTGCTTCTTGATCAGCGTCAGGGTGCACGCGGTGCTCACCACGGATTGCAGGATTGTGGCACCTAAGCTGTTCCAGGGCTTTTGCAGAAGCGGCGGAGTTGCGCGCTCCCCCAAAAGCACCCAAATCTACGTGCTTGACTCAGCTCTAGAAGATGATGGTTGGGGCTTCTCTGGGTGCAGGACATCGGGATACTTTCTCCAGCTGGTCCTTCTGCAAATCAGGATGTTTCCTCGGAGTGTTGTCGAAAGGGCCCATCTAGGGCTTGCGTGGTCGATAAGTTTCTGATTTATCAGGTTCACGACAGTAGTATCATCTCGTGTTTAGGATCGCAGGGTCTCTAGGCGCAAGGCTTTGGGCGGCTTTCAGGCATTGGCTTGTTGGAAGACTCTGCACTCCACCGGCAACAGCCGGAGCTTTCGGGCTCTCACAACGTTTGGGACAAGAGCTCTTTGACAGGCCCGGGTTCAAGTACCACTGGAGCTCCACCAGCGCTTCAAGAGGCACCTCTTTCGTCAGGAAAGACTGCATGCTCCCCACGAAGTCCTGCAGAAATGCGAGCGCTCTGTTCCTGGATCTCAAAAAAACTTTGGAATACCTTGCGCTTATCGACGTCCTCCTCGTACAGCATCTTCGTCAGATCCTGCGCGGCATGCAATTGGTTTCGGGCCTCATCCACATAACGAATCCGGCCGCAAGCCGCGCTGTCATTTTGGGCAGGTGGCGGAGCGTGCTGACACTCCTACAGAGGAGCTTCCGAAACAAGCCTCTGAAAAATCGATATTGACAAGTCTCAACCCTGTAGCCCAATTACATATGCGCAATAACTTCAGGTGGTACGATGCAGCGCAGTTGAGTAGTCCGAGTCTCACGATGTGGTCAGAAATCCAACTAAATAAAGCCGAATCCCCAATCCCTCAGAGCTGCCCCACTCTACTCGCCAACCCCTCCCACCCAAACAGACAGAAAGGCCACAGCTCAAAGCCCTAAGTAGCCTGTAGCCTTCTAAAGGACCGCTTCATTTTCCCAAGGCTTCATGCGCGCCTCCCAGCTCTTTCGGGGCTTCTCCAGGAGACAAGCAACGCCCTCGCGGGCGAGCGCGGCATAGTGTGCGGCTTTAAGGACTTCGGAGTTTCAGAGAGGTTAAACCTCAAGTATGGCTTTGGTGTTTCGGGATCCGGTTTATGTTCTGAACAACACCGTCCCTGCTGTGGAGCGAGTTGGGTGCATCTGGCCAGTCTCATGTTGCTGTACAGCTGCCGCGTCGCCGGGGCCGGGTTTAGGTCTAGAAGAGACCCATTTGAGAAGTGAGGATTCGAAAGACCTGGGCGCTGACCTTAGGCGAGGAGAGTTTCTGAGGCTGCCCAGGGAAGTCTTCCGGCTGCCACACTCAAAAACTCGTTTCACCAGGGTTTCCTGAAGAGGACTTGCACCTCATCCATGAAAAGCCCCTCTGAAGATATTGCTGGCTCCACCAGAATCCCACTTCGGAATCATCATCCATCAGGAACCTTTCTGGTGATGGGGATGCGGCCCATAAGGGACCCCCCCTTATCAAGAGGGCCATGTGAGAACGTCCCTGTGAAAAAAAAACCGCCTCTTGCTGGGGGGGGGGGGGGGGGGGCCCGGGGGCCTCCATGGCCAGCCGGATGCACTGGGGTGGATTCTTGAAGGCTGTCAGCTCCTTGATGTCCTTGATTTCCTGGAGGCATGAGGAGGCGGGAGTGAGGGCAGAGTCTGGGTCTCAGCGTTCAGTCGGCTACCTCGAAAGAGGCAAAGGACACTAACCATTGTTTAACCAGTCTGCGCAACGAAGAACGCAACGCAGCGAATGCGCGTGTCACGGGCAGGTTCATCACACACGGCGCAACGCCGTCAGGCTAAAGTGTTTAAGTTAAGCCCTGTGAAAGCTGAGCCGGATGCGAAGCATGGATCCTGAACTGCCCCTTTGAAAGCAAACCCCGTGGAAGCCCTAAGGTCAAGAGGCCGGTGGCCAGCTTGAAACAAAAGGCAACCACGGTGCCTTGGCAGTCACCGAATCCCGCTTTCAGCGAAAAGGGGTTTAGGGTTTAAGCTTCAGGGTGTAGGGTTTTGGATTTTGGGCTTTGGCTGGAGGGCTTTGTAGGACTAGACCCGGGCATGCACTACCTTCTTTCGGTCACGCCATTTTCCGAATACGGTACCCCAAAAAACCCTAAACGACACAGCTTTGTCCCAAAAAGCAGGTGTCATGGACTCCCTCAGCCCTAAACCCTAAACCTAGGGTACTGCCTTCTGCCGAGGTTCCTGTGCCTCCTCTTGGCTGATCCTGACGCGTGGGGCAAGAGAACTGAAGGCTGAGATCGTGAAAGAGCTGCTACGCTCGGGGCGAGAGCCGGCCACCTCGGGCCTCCTAGGAGAGAGCCCTCAACCGGCCGTTGTAGACTTGTGGAACAGAACCCGAGCCCGAACTTCCCCCAAACTCCCCACCACGGTTTGAGCTCGGGGTCTTCTCCCCGGAGAGCTCCGACGCGGTGTAGCTGAATTCAGCATTCGCAAGGCCCGCATCGTCAAAACCCTGGTCGCCCAAGGTCTTGTACTCATCCTCGAAGGGCCGTCGCAGTTGGGGCTTGGGGGTGTGGGCTCTCGGCGACTCGCTGATGAATGCTGCTGCACAAGCGTCCATGCTGGTGTCTGTGGAGACAAAGAACTGGATGACCTCAACAAAGTTCTCTCGACTCCTCTCTTTTGTCTCTGGGCGAGCGCCGCACAGGGGGGCCCGGGTTCCTCCGCGCGCCTTCGTCTTGGCTTCCGGCAGCTTCTCCCGCAAAGCGGCGGCCAAGTCCTTGTACGTAGAGTCCTTTCGGGGTTGGGGGGGCCCGGCGCGGGGGGGTTGAGGGTTGCATCTTGGCACCTTCAACTCTTTGAACCCAAACTGGGAGGATCTTGAGTGCGAGACTGCCCCCCACTGTCAGACGCGATGCGACATGACTGTAAAAAAGTAACTCCACCAAAGTCCCAAAATCAACAACACACCCAAAATGCGCGTCCTTGGTCACGGGAAGCTTCACGATCTCACCCGAGGCGGTCGAACGACATGCGAGGCAGGGGGCCTGCCATTGCGGCGGTTTCGTGCTTCCAGTGTGGGATTTAACAGATCACTATGCCAGTATGCAAGGATCGAGTTTTGGGGCTTGGGGCTTGATAAGTTCGTGGCCCGTGGCTTAAGGATCAGAGCTTCATATTTCGGATTCTGGGTTCAGGGTTGGAGCGGGCAAAGGCCGTGCCACGAGAACATCATCGCCCTCCGTTTTTTGGAGGCGCGTCAGCGCATGGCGGCATCCCCTTGTCTCCAAGAATCTCCGGGTGGCCCTCGGCTCCGGGCGGCTCTGGGAAGCTCGCCGTCTTGGGCCCAAGCTTGGCAGGGCCAGAAGGGCCATTCACAAGCGGTGGCTCTGCTGCTCAGGGTCTGGAGTGAGATACGTGCCACTCCTTTCATTCAGGGGTTTTGTACTCCCGACGGTTAGGACTTCCCGATTGCCGTTTGGAGTTCCTTCTCGATACAGAGCCCCACTGCCCCGAACCCTAGGCCTGGGCCCTCAATCCCAACCGTCCCTACACCTCTCCTTGCGAGCCTGGACATGGAGAGCTTAGTTAACGTGGGCCTGTGGTTAGCACTCGCTGCCACAACAAACGATCTTGGGCATGGTTTCAGATTGGGCTTGGGCACAAGAAGGCCCTTCCGGTGACATCATGTTTTCAAGCTCGGCTCAAGAAAGCCTTTCCGGTGAATTCATGGCTTCAAGTTGGGCCCGCCCGGTGAAAGGATGATCTCAAGCTGGGCCCAAGAAGATCTTTCCGGGCAAATCACGGTTTCAAGTCGGGCCCAAGAAAGCTCTTCCGGTGAAATCCTGGTTTTAAGCTGGGCCCTCAACTCGGTCCAGCCAGCTCAGCCCCCCCCCCCCCCCCCCTCCCCCCGCAAAACGGCCTGCAGGAGTTGCATGGCCTCCTGCAGCTTGATCTTCGCCTCGTTTGGGAGCTCCCCGTACGCCCCTGCCAGGTCCGCCGCGCTGGCATCCTCGAGTGGCGCAAAAGCGTCTTTTCAGCGGCTTTCGAAGCCTCGTTTCCGAGGCCGTATAAGCCTGCGCGTGCCATAAACCAGAGACCTGCACGCCTTGTTTCTTCGCACCTGAGCCCTCAGTTCTCCCTCAGTTCTCCGCTAAGCCCTTGTACCCCAACTTCTCCAGGTCGGGGCTCTGCGAGCTTCGACTGGGCGCCACTCCCCATCTCCCTGGACTGGAGGCCTTTGCGGACTCCGGGTCTGAGCTGCTGAAGCGTAACGGTGGGGCCAAGGCGCCAAGGCCAGAAGCCACAGAAATCGGAAGCTCGGGGAAGCGGCAGGGCAAGAAGGCAAAATGGCAGCGACCAAGGCAGGCGGTTCTGTACCTTTGCTTGGCACAAAATATGACGTTCTACCGTTACCGCAACAACCACCGGTGTGGGGGCACTGTGCGAGTGAAGGTGTGCTCACGGCTCATTTCCTCGCTCGCAACGAAACATCCGAAAAAAGCTCAGGTTCTCTGCCAGTTTGACAGGCGTGAGGGACAGCCTACTTGCCATGATCATTATCACACCGTTTCTTCATCACTGCCTGCCTCCTTCCCGTGGCTCTCCGAACTTTCAGAGAGCCGAGGAGCTCAGCGAGCGTCTTGGCGTCTTGAAAACACATGTAGGTAGGGGGCTTTTGTTGACTTGAGGGTCCCTGACGGTCCTTGCCTTTGGAGAAGCATCTTGCTGGGCCAGGAGTCACTGTTCCTGTGTGCAAGTCTAGATGGAGGAAATGATTTAGGCCAAATGCTCGCACTGATAGCACAGGTAATGGTAAGGTCCCGCAGCACTGCACGAAGACTAAGTCACAACGAGAGAGTCGTACGGAGAGTAGTCAATCATCACCGACTGCCACGAAGAAGAGCTGCGGTCTTGGCTTCTCCTCCTGGGCATGGGCCAAGACGGCAATCGCAGCACTATAAGCCGCATTTTAAAAGGGAGGAGCCGTCACATGGATTTGGCTGGCGCTGGGGCTCTAACCGGGCAGCGCATCGTCTTGCCAAGGCCACTCCCTGCTGAAGGCTTGGGCCGGGTCTGCGCAGCCAAAAGAGAGTCTCTGCCCTGGCGCTCTGATCCAACGACTCCTCGAAGATCCTCTAGATATCTGTATCCTAGCTGGGGGCCCTCGGTACCCTTTCTGCGCTTAAACGAACCGGCTACATCCTTCTGTACAGTGGCACCAGGCAAGTCTTCTTGTTGACCCCTGCGTGCCGCGACTAGCCGTGCAAATGTGCACCTCTCAAGAGGATTGTTTCCCCAAGAGGATTTGTTCTTGAATTCGGCCCAGGCGTTCGCTGTCGCGTTGGCACGTCTACGGCACCTGACCGCAAAGACCTGGGTCAGGGACACGGCTCAGAGCTCTGTAACTGCGCCCTCCGTGAACTCTGTCACGGATGGCTGGTAGCCTGTCTGCAGGAAGGCAGGGCCAAGAAAGTGGCGGCGAGAGCGGGATTTCTTCTGCACCAGAGCCGCTGTGGAAGCAGAAGGCTGGTATCGCAAACACGAAAAGCCTTTGAGCGGGAAGGTAGCCTGAATGCCTTCTGGTCGTGTCCACACTTCACAACGGCCGGCAGAGTACTCGATTCCCTTGCAGTCGGTACGTCCAGTGCAAGCCAACTTGCATGCGTCCAAGCTTTGCTCCCGAACCACCGTGTAGTAGTTCGCAGAATTGTCCTTGCTGTGAGCGCCTCGACAGGCCTGGTCGGTTCCACTTACGGGCTGGAAGTCGGTGTCCCGCGCCCAGCAAGCGAAGCCTTCGACGCTCTCTGTGGCTTGGACTGCTCGGGTCCAAACCTCGCATCGGCGCAGCAGGAAGCCGTACTCGATCCCCTTGCACTCTGCATTCTTCAAGCACAAGGCCTCATGCTTAGGCTTTTTGATGCTTGCATATGCTTGCACAGCGCAGGCAAGCAAGAACTACGCACATCTACGCACTCCCACTGCACTTGCGCAGCATCGCTAGCCTTGCACTCGAAGAGGCTGTCGACGTTTTCGTGAGTGCTGTAGTAGCTGGGGGAGTTGTCATTGGCGTTTGCCCCTCTGCAGGTGCGTCCAAGACCGCCATCCATCGGTTGGAAAGAGCTGGCTCCAGGTGGCTCGTAGCGTAGGCAGCGGAAGTTGCTCAGGGCTTTCGTGGCGCGGATGCCACCCGGCCGCGTCCAAACTTCGCAGCGCCCACGAGAGAACTCCAGGCCGTTGCAGAGAGGCTCCAGCAGGCAGGCCTCTTTGCCTCAGTCCAAACGGCCATGAACAAATGCTCCCTTTGCTGAAGCTCTCAAAATGAAGCCTTCTCACCACCTTCATTCTCGGGCCCCAACAATTTCGAGCAAGCAGGTCTTGCTTTCGCCGAGAGACAGAGCTCCAGGGACCCGGAGCCAGAAGCGACGACTTGGTAGTGGCTCCCGCTGTTGTCGTTCTCGTGTGCGCCCCGGCAGGCGCGGCCCAGACCGTCCACTTCCTCGAAGCCGTCGCCACCGGTGCCGGCGGAGCTGGAGGTGCTCGCCTGGGTCGCCTGGGCCGCGGCAGCTGTCAACTTTCTCTGCTGGAGGACCCCTTCTTCTTTAAAACAACACAACACCAAAAGCACCCCGGCGTTGTCAAGAGCAGAAGCGCCGAGACTGTGGTGGTCGCTGCCGTGCTGGCGGTGCTGGACTTGGTAGCCATGCTTCTTGGATAATACACCTGACTCAAGGCTGCTCTCTGACACGTCAGGTGCCCTGCTGAGCCTGAGCCTCTGCCCTGAGCCTAAGCCGCCCTGAGCCGCCGGCCGTGATTTTCGCAGCGTTCGTGGCGTCGGGGGTTGGCCCGAAGAGGGGCGTCTCTGGGGACGCCTCGTGCGCGTCCTCGTTCATCGGCTTCGGATCGTAGGGCCACACGCCGTTGGGGCTATTCACGGGGCCCCAGCGCCCCTCCCGGTCCAGGTGCCAGCTCGTCACCCACCTGCTGCGCGCGCTCGCAGCTCGCAGAGCCATCAAAAAAAACCCAGCTCTCGCTAAAGCAGCTCCAAATGGTGTTAGCTCGCTGCTGGCAAAGGCGCGCGACGGCGCCCTCGGCCGTGGTGGTCCAGTCCTGATAGAGCGGCCAGTGGGTGTGCAGGGTGACGTCGCTCCGCTCCGAGACTTCCTTGCAGTCGCCATCCAGCTCCACAAGCCACCTCGACCTCGCGATTCGTGCAAGAAAGCTTCGCACATCACTCTAGCCGCAATACACTAGTAGCCGAGCAGCTTGTCGGACTTCTCGAAACCCATCAGAAAGCGCTGCTCCGGGCCGCAGTCCGAGCTCTCGCTGTCGACTCCCAGGCGGGCGAGGCGCAGCATGCGGCCAGGAGCCTGGTCCCCGCAGTTCTTGCCGCTGCTGCCGCAGGGCATCTTGCCAACCGAGGCCTCGATGACCTTCCAAAGCAGGATCTCGCCCAAACGGCTGATCTTCGCGCAGACGTTGCCGCTCTCCGCGATGATCCCCACCAGCCAGCCCTCGCCACAAGGTTTTAGCGTGTTGGCCTGCAGCCCCGTGTCGTTGCCCACAGACAGCTCTAGCCTTCCGGTCTTGTGCCCTGGCGGAGCAAAGGCGCCCTCAGTTGGGGGGCTCAGGCCATACTGCTGCATGTACACGGGGCCGTGCGTATGCTTCTGCAAGCCTATGTCCTGCAACTTCGGATGGTAGGACAGGGCCGCCGATGCTTGGTGGTCGCCGGTGCCTGTGCGGTGGTGGTCTCGCCAAGGCCCGGATGCCTCTTCCCGAAGCTCCACCTGATCCCGAGGCACCGGATAGCTATACTTCTCATATTCCTCCGCGCTGATCATCGGCGCATCCCGGTGGTACGTGTGCATGGCGAAACCCGTATGAGACCCCACGCTGGCCCCGTACCACGCAGTCCAGGACCGGTGAAAAGGAGAGTAGACCAGGTAGCCGTAACCGGCCGAACGCTGAGCAAACCAGGCAGACAAGGGTAAACTACCCCAGATCCCGGTGTTGGGTGCGGTCTCCTCTGCTTGGTATTGCTTTCCTATCTGCCAAGGCTTCTTCTTCTCCATGCTTGTGGTGTTGAGCTCACAGACTGCCAGGACCATGGCAGCGTTGTGGACGCCCTTCCCCGTGTTCTCGACCCACGGATGCCAATACTTGGCGCAGAGCGTTCCCACTTGCCCGTCCTCCGTCATGTCGATGCCACCGGCCCGAGCAAACCCATCGAAGGCCTGGCTCTCCGCCAGAACCACCGGCTCACCCTTGCCTGAGGGCAACACCAGCTTGCTGACCTCAGCAGCGTTTCACTGTTTCACATGCAAGTGCCTCAGTTCTGGGCGTGGGCGGAACTGCAGCCGAGGGGCGTAGACCCGACCCTCATCTCCAGCAGACGCAGCTTTGCCGTAGTCCAAATCGGCCGTCCAAGAGAAATAGATGTTGGGCCGCGTCTTGTCGGCCACGGCGTTCATCGGGGAAGGTCCGCGGAAGATGTGCCCGTGCCTTCGAAGTGTAGACAGCGGTGGATTACGGGCGGCCCCCCCCCCCCCCCCCCCCC